GCCGATTCTTGTCGACAATCATCGCATAGTTATAATCGCATAGTTTTGGATTCAAATTAGATGTGAGTAAAATGTTTTCCACTTTGAGGTCTCTGTGCGCCAGTTTGTGTCTATGCATATAATCCAAGCCATTTAATATTGATTTAAACAATAACCACGACATGTATTCACTGAGGGAACCGTTAGTCTTCAGCCAATCAGCTATTGTTCCCTTTGAGACCAAATCCATCACAATATATATCTTTTTATCATTTCTTATCATTTCATATGTTTTGCAAATGTTTTTATGATTTAGTTTAGAGATTACTTTTACTTCTCGGGACATAAAACTCGTTCCGTATTTTAGCCGAGCGTTAGTCAAGTAAATCACTTTAACGGCCACTTCCCGGCGCCGGGTATTATCCATAGCCTTATACACATCCGCGTAATTACCGGAACCAATGGATTCAATTACAGAAAATTTTCTTAAAGACATGAATTCGTTAACGGATATAAATTCTGTTGATTTTATGTCAATTAATCCCAACTCGTTATAGTATTTGGCCGGTAATGAGCGCTCCCGGCGGACAACTGTCCCATAAGTCTCATCCACTCCTTTTACCGATTGTTGCAATTCATAGTCAAGTCTCTCATTGTCTATAAGCAAAGTCTTATCATTTGTGTCGTTATTATGTTTAATAGGAGTGAAAGAGACACTTATTTTATCCGAGTTTTTGTCAATCATTACATAATTCACTCTTTTATTCCTCAAGTCATCCTTCAATATATCCGCCGATTGTCTGTTACTTTGGTTTTTATTGCTTTCATTACTACTATTATCCTTAGATTGACAGCAATTACAACAAAATGCCAAACAATCCATAATTTTCTCCATTTTGTTGTCAATCAAGATATTTATCACAATTATTAAAATACAAGAAATTCAAGAAATTTAACGCCTTTTTGTTTTGCATTCAAAATAACTAAGTTTTGAATTTATTTTAACGCTATTTTTAACAATACATTTAATGACTATTTAACTAACAGTTAGAGATTTGTGCATTACTATCAGCTATTAGGACCCCATAAATAAAATAAATTTATATTAAAAACAATTAATATGCACGCGCATTTGAATCTTAGTGAATTACATTATTATGAATAATTAAAATTTTTAAAATACAAATAATTTCATAATAATTAAAATTTAAATTTTAACAACACTCATGTTTCTAAAACAGTTATTTTAAACTTTTATATCATTTCTAATCTATATTCAAAATGTGGATAATTTATAGTTTTATTTGCAATCCTTATTCTGTATTAAATTATTTTTATGTGCTTTTACTTATAATACAAATCATTTATTCATGAATAACTTATTAATTAAATTATTAAAGTTTTATTTAAAATCACTTTTAAATCATTTTTAAGATCAAAATGTAATTTAAAATATCACAGAATTGGAAATTTGTAGTAATAATCAACGAACACATTAATTGTACCCAAAATTATTTTTATTTTATTATAATATTCAACATTTAATTATAGATTGAATTAATAACAATAAAATCTTATTATGAAAAAATAAATAATTAAAATTCTTTACATATAATTGATTGAAACAAATAAAATGTATTTATGAAAGAAGAAGTAGAAGAAGAATAGGTAAATGATTTGTAAATATATTCAATGATAAGTCAAATATAAGATCAAAGTATTTGATGACAAGTTATATCATTTGGCATTTGATAGGAACTCGTGGTTTGAGTGCAAAAACGCATGTCTTTAACGACAGAAAATTGCAAACCAGAGGAAGAACTCAATTATCATCAGAACTGTTCAAAATTGATCACTTCTTCGTTTGGTTTTTGGGAAATACAGTCGCGAACCGTCTGTAAGATAATATTCACTCTGCGATCTAAGGCCACCAGATTTTGTTCGCTGAGCACCGGATTCACGGGATCCGCTGACAATGACTTTCGCATCACATCTGAGACAATGAAATTCACAATTAATTAAATCTCCAAAAATATAATCAGCAAAAAAACACTATATTTACGGCTCAGTCTGTTGTCGGGTTGCGTAAAACTCAACACCCGTTTCAGAGTAGTCTGTCTTATGACACAGCACTGGGCGAGTGGAGCCAAAATGGACAGTTCATCATGGTAGGGCTGACCAAAGCTAGACAAAATAATGTCAATTGATTTAATGAGAAAACTACTGTATGTCAAAAGAAATAGTAAAACAATAGCTAATAAAATTGAGTGCCAAATACCCTCTGCCGTGATCTAAATGCAATGGAAACGTATTGTTGCCAAAGTGTTTGAACGTCTCGTAATGGTGTCGATCCATATTACCGATGAAGAAGTCAAGTATCGCCATATCCAT